AGGAGGAGGAGGAGGAGGAGGGATGGGCATCCTGCTGCTGACAACGCCTGAACCCTGGAAAACAAAAGGTTCTGTTACTGATCCATCAGAGGAACCGTCCAACAGTCCAACTCAGACCAAAAACTACCAGTTAAAATATGGAGCAATGTATTGAATTATCTTAATTGGTTAATCGGGAATAGGAAAACATTTCACACCGGGACATGTCCCCCCGGTACCGATCAGAACCATGTCCCACCTTCACCGTGTTCAAACCGAACCTGGTCCACTTATAAAATCCGTTTCATGGCTGGCAGATGATAAAAACTGGGACAAAAACACTCTTTCAGCAGCCGAACCAATTGAAACCGAGTCAGTAAACCCGGATTAGAACCCAAACAGAACAGAATCAGAACCGCCAGGCATCCTTCTCTGGTTCCAGTTTCTGATCAGCTCATTTCATGATCGTTTAGCAGGGCTAGCCTAGCTAAAGTGGGCCTGAATCCACCGAAGATGCTAAGCTAACATGTTGACATAAACGATGAGCTAATGATAAACATTTCACATTAAAAACCTCCTGATCCAGATCAAAACCCTAAAGAACCGCCCACTGCTTGCTCCAGATACCCAGAACCTGTCAGCATCCCTGAGCAGCTAGCTCCACCGTTAGCCCCGCCTGCTAATCGCTGCATCCCCGGGCAGCTAGCTCCACCGTTAGCCCCGCCTGCTAATCGCAGCATCCCCGGGCAGCTAGCTCCACCGTTAGCCCCGCCTGCTAATCGCAGCATCCCCGCCACATCCCGCTCCGCTGAGGCTGCCTCTTCCTACCTGAGAGCCTTTACACCGGTTAGCTCATCCTCCCAGCGGTGGGTCTGTGCTGACTGGCCACAGCGGCCCAAACTACTGGGTCTCGGTTCGGTTCGGATGCTGCAGAACCCCGCTAGCTCCGTGGACCGTTAGCTTCAGCGCTGCGGTGACGCGGGTCACGTGATCAGAGCTGCTGCTTTTTTAATGTTTTATTTATTTCTGCAGCTCCCCATGATAACGGCACTTTGCATGTATTTTAACTGCTTTTCTTTTAATTCAGTTTCTCCTGTTGCTTTATAAATACTATTTTTTCTGCAGTAATTTCGTATTTTTTTATTTCCTCTGTATCAGTTACATACATATTTGAAACATGTCCATAGTTTAGTTAATTACTTTCATCTGCATTTATTTTTTATTCAGTATTTTAATGTTTCTTGGTGATTTTTATTTCATTCTACTTGAATTTTATCATTCATCTCCATTATAACTTATGAGTTAAACTTCTTTTTTTCTGCAGCCGTTTTTGTTTCTAATATAATAATTGAACTTTATTGATCTAACATTGGAGAAATTATCATTTAACCATCCTTTAGGGAGCAAGAGGCTACCATTGTGCGGCGCCCAGGGAGCAGGGTGGGCTAGTCAGCGGCTCTGTTCGAATTGATGGTCTGCGTCCTTAGAAGGCCAGATTCAGATTCCAAGACTCCTTGTTATGCGGCCTTGAAGGAATAGTACACCCAAAACATGATTAGCCTTCATTTTCTACTCACCCCCATGCTGAACAACACTCTGGAGTACTTTTTTGATATCTCAAATGCATCTGGAGATCTGGGAGGCTTCTTGCTGTCTGCTGACATTCAAATAATGGAGGTCTATGGCGCCCGAGGCAGAAAGGTCCATAAAAGTCCACAAAAACGTGTCAATATTCCTCCATACTGCTCGTCCAATGTATTCCAAGTGTCCTGAGTGGGTAGCATCCAGAATTTATTCGAAACGAAGTCATTTAGAATGTTTTTAGAGCATAAACAGTAGTGTATAGGATTTCCTAAAAGCGCGTTCACGAGTCTACGGAAACCGCGGCAGACCAAACCAGATTCTTATGAATGCGCACTTGCGTAAATGAAAAATAGATAAAAGAAAATGGGTAAGTAAAAAAAGGGATATATGAGAAATTGATTAATGAAACAGGGAAATAGAAAATCGGGTTAATGGAAAAAGGAAATTGAAAAATGGTTAAATTAAAAAATAGATTAATGAAAAATGGGTAAAAAAAAAAAAGATAAAAATAGATAAAACAGAAATTGAGAAATAGATAATCTGAAAAATAAATACATTAAAAATTGGTTTAATGAAAAAGCTAAATTATTTATTTAACACATTTTTTATTTATTTCACTCATTTTCTTCATTTTTGATTTATTTTACTCATTTTTTATTTATTTCACCCATTTATTTATTTATTTAATTTTGGCTGAAATGGCTCTCCATAATCAGTGGTTAGAATACTGTCATTTTGTCCCACAATCCATACCAGTAGGTGGCGGTAATTCGCATTCAAATGTACCGTCCACCATTAAACAGCAGAAGAAGAAGAAGGAGGAGGAGGCGCGGAGATTTGAAAACAAAAATGGCGAAGGTCCGAGAGTAAGTTTCCTCTCAGGTTTAAACATTATTCTATGTCCTTAAACATTCTAGCTGTCTTAAAACGTGACTTTAAAGGAGCCGAACCATTAAAAGTGTTGTTTTAATCCGACTGTTTGGTTCTGTTTGTCGGACAGAGTTCTGCAGCGCTGTGACCCGGTTCTGTTGGAGCCCTGCGATGAGTCCGAACCGGACTGTTCGGAGGCTTTAGGGGTGGTTCTGTTCCTCACGGTCAGTTCGTTCTTCCTCCCGCTGTGTTTGCTGAAAGCCTGATGGCTCTAAACATGTCAGAGTTTATTTTATTCCTTTTAAAGGATCAAACCAACATGAGACAGACTCTTATCTGTTTTTTTTAATTTCCTGAATATTTACACATTTTAACCAAAGCCTTTCAAAAATACCTCAGATCTTATAAAATATTTTTTTCCCAGTCCAGGAAATGTGAGATTAAAGATGTGAGCTCATCTCCATGGTAACGCTACGATACTGAAGTTGGCTTCCGAATCGAAAATGAGTTTTGCCTTCCTTCAGCATTTTTAATCTGCTCTAATTTAAAAACTACAACGCCAAGACACATCAAACCTGGACTAGATTATTCTCAACTATTGGTGGAATAATTCAAACCAGGTCTGGGATTTTTGAAACATTTCCCTGATTTGTGAAACTTCAATAAAGGCAGATTTTAACACTTGTACAGATTATGGTATTGCTGATAGATCCACAGGTTGTGAGAAGTTATTTTCAGAAACATTTATTTGATATATATGTTAGTTATTTTTATAAGCAGTAGCATTAGTATATATAATAGTGTATAATATACATATTTTTATCAATATTATTGAAATAAAACATTAATTTTATAAGAACAGGACATAATGTTATTGCTGGTAGTGGGAAGTGCTTGTTTCTTAAAAAAACAAAAAAACATCCAATAATAATTGTAAGCAGTAGTAGTTGCAGCAGCATAATATTTTTATCAATCTTATACAGCATTAAAACTCCAAGAGATTAGGTGTCTAGTGTGACATTGACAATAAAAAAAGAGTTAAAATCGGCCTTTATTGAAGTTTCACAAATGAGAGACCTGTTTTTAATTGTTCTACAAGTATTTTAGAATAACCTAGTCCAGGTTTGATTGGGAGATGTGTTGTAGTTTTTTTTATTTACCGGTAGAACAGATTAAAGATTCTGAAGGCATGGAAAAACTAAGTGGAATCGCACTTCATCTCATTTCCCTAATTGGAAGCAAACTTCATCTCCATGGTGACGCTGCTGAATATTTTCCTCCATCATATTTTTGTGGTTCTGAGTTTAATGATAAATTCAGTGGGAGGATGTCTATCCACCAGCATCTCCAAAAACAGCAACAAAAGCAAGTTATCACTCTTGTTGTTGTGTGGCAGTAATATCCAATATAATGATAATAAACAATGTTGTTTTTATTATTATTGTAATAAGAGTTGATAAGAATGTCGGTTGCTTGTCGTTGGTTAGTGGGACGTCTCACATGTTTTTCAGTAATTACACAGCAGTTTGGCCCTAACAGGTTACCGTAACAAGCAGTTTGATAGTCTGAACTAAAATAAGCTTAACTGTTTTAACCATGTTTCCATGAATGTGTGTAGGAGAGTCGGCGTGTGCAGAAGATTCTGTGGCGTCAGCTGTTTGTTCTGGACTCCATGGTGTCGCTTCTGGAGGGCCTGGAATCTGCCCAGCAACTGATGACACAGCCCTGCCCCCCGCAGCCAGGTACCTGCCGCACCTTCCAGGTTTTCATGATGCAAACGTTTCTAAGCCCAGAAAAACATTTGGTGTTTGAATCCAGTTTAGATTCAGCATTCGTTAAGCTGAGTTGTCATCAACCTGCTTTCATTAAGCTGATGTCATCAGCCTGCTTTCATTAAGCTGATGTCATCAGCCTGCTTTCATTAAGCTGATGTCATCAGCCTGCTTTCATTAAGCTGATATCATCAGCCTACATTCGTTAAGCTGAGCTGATGTCATCAGCCTGCTTTCGTTAAGCTGATGTCATCAGCCTACATTCGTTAAGCTGAGCTGATGTCATCAGCCTGCTTTCGTTAAGCTGATGTCATCATCCTACATTCGTTAAGCTGAGCTGATGTCGTCAGCCTGCTTTCATCAGCCTGCTTTAGGAGGCTTGTCTCCTGCAGGATTATTTTCCAGTCATGCAGTTTAAAGGTTGATCAATCAGCTGTAAGCTGAGCCGCTCGTCTGTGGAACAATGATCATTGGGTCGACCTTCAGCGGCGTCTCACCAACACAGGTGTGTGTGTTTGCTCGTCTTTGTGTGTCAGAGGTCGGCGCTCGCAGCAGGTGGAAGGCTCTGAAGGCGGAGCTTAGCTCTGGGATGGAGGAGACGGAGGAGCTGCTCAGATCCCTGCAGGAGCGACTCCAGCAGATCAGCAGCAGGAGACGCAGGCTGACTCAGCTCCTGCAGCTTCTGCACAGCAAGGTGAGCCTCACACCTCTCCTCCTCACCATCTCTCCACCTCTCCTCTCCTCACCTCGCCTCCTCATCTCGTCTCCTATTCTCCTCACCACCTCTCCTGCTCGCCTCTCCTCCTCACCTCTCCTTGCCTCTCCTCTCCTCACCTCCTTGCCCTCCTCTCATCTCCTGCTCCAGCGGCGACAGCGGGAGCAGCTGGCGGTGTCGCTGCTGAAGGCCCAGAATGCTTTGCTGTCATGTGATCAGCAGCTGAAGCAGCTTAGAGGCGAGGCGGCGGCGGCGCTCGGTCAGCTCCTCTCATGGCAGCGGTTTAGAGACACGTGAGTGCAGTCAGGTCACATGTCTGCCGAGGCAGCGCTCTGATTGGCTGGTAACTCCTCTCTGGCTCCTGATAGGCTGCAGGAACACGTCGTTGCCAAGCAGGAAGTGATGGAGATCAGGCTCATCTCCTTTAACCAATCAGAGATGTTGGTAGAGATCAGGCCACGCTTCCCCTCCGATCCTTCGTCCAATGAGCTCGAGCCGCTGAGGCTGTCGGTCAGCTGGCGCCACGACGACCGCTTCCTCCTGCAGGTAGGGGAGAAACACTACGACTGCAAATCACAGTGATGATGTCACTTCCTGTTCCTGTATCATGCTCCGCCCTCTGGGTCCACAGGTAGACGAGCAGGCAGCCGGCTTGGTGGAGGGCTGCGGGTCGGGCTCCTGGAGCGAGCTGAGCACGCAGCTGCTGGCCGTCCTTAAGGGCTACCGGGGGCAGGCGGAGCTGCTCTGTGAGATACAGTCGCTGAGGTCCTGGTGAGGCCCCGCCCACTTGGGTCCTAACGCTTCTGATGGTTCCAATTGGTCCGGTTAGAGCTGCCTCCTCAGCAGCAGGCAGCTCTAACTTGGCGCCTCTCTGTTGCAGCTACGCCATCGACTGGTGCCCCGCCCAGCGGCTGCTGGTCTACCTGAAGTCTGCGTCGCTGGTGTGTCACCTGGAGGTGGAGGAGGGCTACCCAAGACACGGACGAGCTGTGCTGCGCTGCGTACGGCGGGACGGACATCCCGTGGACACGGCGGCACTCAAGGTGATGGACTCCCATCCTCCATCACCTCACAGCCGGCTGCAGTTTCTGATTGGCTGCAGGCCGAGCCAGAGGGAGGAGTCTGTGGTTTTGTTCTACTGGCAGAGAAGGTTTTTAACCCTTTCTGTCTGTCTGTGTTTCAGCCTCACACTGCTAACCCCTCCCTGACCAACTGGCTGGTTTTCCTCAGCACCAGTCCTCTGATCTGAACCGATCCGGTCCGGTCTGGTCCTGTCCTGCTCTTCCTGGGACCGTCTGTGTCCTGCCGGACCTTAAACCTGTGAACCTCTGACTGCTCCTCTTTGACACCAGCTTCATGTTCATGTCGACTTTGATCCAAACAGAATAAATAATAAAAGGGCTGCAGCTGAGTGTTTATTTTATCAACTTTAACAGATACTTTTAATTAATTTCTTTAAAAAATAGAATAAAAACCATTAAAGACTAAAACGTTTGCTAATATCCTCATGTCTCCATATACAGTATGTCTAAAAGTAAAGAGCTGCTTAGGGCCCCAAATTCCTGGGGGCCCCATCAAACTATTCCTTATCCTTAACATCAGTTCTAAACAGGCAACAGGCAGCTCATGTTATATAGAATGGGTCTGTTTGATGCCCCCCACTTGTCTTTGCTTAGGGGCCCCAAATTTCCTAAATCTGCCCCTGCCCAGAGGCGCAGAAAGAAAGTTTTTATAAGGGTGGCCAGGCAAAAAATTTACACTGAAGATAAAAATGAAGATAAACTTTACTTTCCTACAGCCTTTGCTGTCAAATAGATAATATATAAATAATATCTTTAAACATCTGTGCTTTCTGGATAAAAGATAAAGTGGGTCAAATTCTTTCAGGTTTGAGTTGTGGGACGAACATCTTTTCTATTGTCATTATCAACTTTTATCAAATTGATTACTCAATAAGTTTAAGTAATATAATTAATAAGTTAATAAAATAGTGATTTATCTATGATTTCACTGAAGACTCCTAAATTACTTGCAGACACATTATTCTCTCTTTACCCCATAAAGCACAAACTCTAGCTCTGCAAAGAGCAGGAATTCTGTATTTATCTTTAATGTTAGTATATTGAGGAGCGTAATAAACCACAGTGCTTTTTTGTTGTCAATTAATTGTTAATATATAAAAAATTAAAATGTTTTAAATATTCCACTTGAGATTATTACTGCTGCCTCCATCTGTATCAGAGGGGAAAATATACTGTATTATTACTGTATAAATATTCCACCAGGGGGCGCTGTGTCTCTTCTGATGATGATGAAGCAGTTTTGGGCTCATTTCTACAAGAGTTTAGTTTTCAATTAAAAGAAAGAGCTCAGTGATCAGCCAGGCGGCCTCTGATTGGCTGATTCATCCTAACCTCGCATTAGCGTTGACCAATCAGAGCAGAGAGGATGAGTTGATCATTTCATGTTTTTTTTTTTTATATGTCTGGATTAATGAGGTTTATTAGATATTTCCACCATAGACCTTCTGTGTTCATGTTTCCCATTTTTACGTTTAACAGTTGCAATAAAAAAGCTTTACACCAATTAATTAATGGAATTTTATTGGTTTACATTCAATTGTTTAGTTTAGAATCACATTTTGCACATTAGAAAGAGCAACATCTGAAAAAAGAAAACACATTTTTCCCTTTAGTTCTTAAATACCTTTTTCCTTATTTTAATCTGTATAGCTGCCAGCAGGGGTCGCTGTTTGTCTCCTCACAGCTCTCTGTATTAAGCTTTATCTCTTTTATTTTTTAATCCTGTTTTATTTCATCATCTATGATCAGTAATTTGGTTTAACTGCAGATCTGAGTTTTCTTTAAAACTTATTTTCATGAAAAGTAATAAAACGTGGAGAGCTGCTCTGATTTCAGGTGAAACGGTAAAAACAGGAAAGGAGCCACAGATCAGCATCTTCAGTTAGAATTTATAGAATTACATAAACAGTCTTTAAAACAGATTAAAATACAGATATACAAAGATTTTCTTGCTGAACAAAAGCTTTGTGCGCCACTCTTTAATAATAATAATATCCATATTATTCAAATTCATACAGTATTTTATTCAGAACGCAAACGAGTAACAAATATCAACACTTCAAGTATGACTGGATGTTATTTACAGGTTTCAGGCTGAAGATCAGCAGCCCTCTGCATCCAGCCGTCTCATTGGTCCACGGAGCTGTCCGTCAATGCTGCATCCTCACTATTGGCTGCTGGTGTCGACGAGGCAGAGAGCTGAACCAGGATTGAGCGGATCCCTCAGGAACCGTCAGGAAGACCTGGATGTTTGTCTTTAAGCACTTTGTGCAGGAAGTTCTGATGCAGTCAGAGTCTGCAGAGCTTCTGGATCCGCCGCTGCTGCCAGTCTGCCGTAAAGTTCAGCAGGTTTGGAAAGTTCAGGATTTTTGTCTCCGTTTTGCTCCCCCTCCCTTTATAGAGGGAATCTGGAGGTTTATTGTGGAGCGTTATCAAGGATGATGACTTCCCAACAGGAAGTGGGAATCAGAGTAATTTCTCCTTAGGAGCAGCTGACAAAGCAGACTCTTAATTTGGCGGGGAGCATGCCTTTGATACGGGGACGCCATGTGAGGTCGTCAGGGGTCGATGCGGAAGGACAGCAGCTTCTCTGAGTGCATGTTGTTGAGCGTGCGCAGGTCCGGCAGCCGCAGCAGCAGTTTGGTGAACCGCGGTGAGTCCATGTAGGGGTGGACGCCGTCGCCCACGCCGGTCGCCTTGTTGACCAAACCGCGGAGCGCTCGGATCAGGTTCTCCTGGAGATGCTCCACAGACGAAAGGTTCTCGATCCCGGAGCGATCTGTGAAGGACGACAGAGACGAGTCAGAAACCCTGAGCTGAAGGCTCCTCCTGAGATGGAAAGAAGCTGGTGGAGATGTTCAGGAACCAACAGACTCATAGTTTAGTACCAGACTGAGGCTCAGAGTTTACTTCACCATCAACTGAGAGGAGAAAGAAGCTCCGACTCTAAAGCTAGACCTTCAAGCCGCTGAAGCTCAAACGACACTAAGATGAAGGTGTTTGGGCAAAAAGTCAAGAAGTGTCTCCAAGATGAGGACGCTGCACCAACTGTCCGGCACGGTAGAGGTGGCATCATACTGTGGCTTTTTCACTGGTAGTGATACCGGTGCAAATATGGTGTAAAGGAGCAGGACAGCTGGTCCACTGCTGTGGACATGTCCCCACAGTCCGCTCACGTACTTCAGCCAACAGTGACAGCAGCCGCTAACCGTGTCCCGCCTCTCGGTGTGACATCATCAGATCTGTGGCTTTGAGACATCTGATCTGCGGTCTCATTTCACTGCGTATAGAGCAGCTACGTGATTAAAGGAGGAGAGACGTACAGCAGCATTAAACAGGAGGTCCTTCGATGTTTAAGCAAAAGTTAGGAGACGGGTTTGTTAAAAAAAATTTAAGAAGCCAAAGGAGAATCTGTTAGTTAGACATACGGAGCTTTTTCAGCTAAAAACAGCAACAGATTATAAGTTTATACAAGTTATTATTATAATGAAATAAGCTGAAGAAAACAGTTTGTTCTTCTTTACCAGTTAAAAAATGGCTTTTCTTCTCAGAGGACCATGACTCACAGTTACAGGTTAAAATTAAACAGATAGAATCAGGCTGCAGAGATTCTACAGATCTGGAAATTTAGTTCCTGGCATCATTATATTAGGAAAGAGCTTCATAAATCTTTTTAAACAGAGAGAAGCAGGGAGAGCTGCAGATTTAAAGGGGAAAGGGATTTACTGGGATATGCAACATGTAATAAAATATATTTTCCAAGTTTACCACAAAGTTTACGAGAAAAAAAAATATACTATGATATATTTAAAATGCAGCATATTCATGTTTTTCTGGATGGATGGAATTGAAAATTGTACTTCTATGGATGCACGATTGATCAATTTTGGCATCAGAATCAGCTGTTATTCATTTTTTTTTGTTTTAAACATTAATGTGTGTGTATATATATATATATATATATATATATATATATATATATATATATATATATATATATAAAATGCACTAAAAAGTTTATGAGTTGATTCCTAAATGTTTATTTTCTGTATTATTTACAGAGTTTATTTGCAGGTTAATAATTGTTGATTCTATTTCTTTGTTTTATTTTATTTTTCTTCCTCATTTTTTGTTCTAAAGTGTGACAGGAAGTGATGTGGATCAGTCCACTTTCTATAAGCGTAGGGGCCTGGGAAAGGAGCAGCAGCCATCTTGGGTTTTGGGGTCTCTGGTTTTTACCAGAGCAAAGGAAAAAGTTTGAACTTAATTTCTGGCTGAAATAGAAAATAAACAATCCAGGACAATCAACAGGTTTGGACATTGAACCTTCTCTTTGCCCGTGTGCAGAAACCTGACCCCAGTGCCTTATTAGGGGCCTACAATACAATAAATGTCAGAGTACTGTGGTTCTATTGNTCGCTTAACATACGTCACGCACTCCGTTGCTCTTATTGGTTGTAGGTCTATCCAATTGAGTGCAGAGGCATTTTTTTTCCTGGTTCGTTCGAAACACGCCCCATAATTACAGCTCTATGGAGCAGAATCAGACTCATATTCTGACTAGAACTGAGTAGGACTACGTCAGGCTACTTTCCTACAGCCTTTGGTATCAAATAGAAAATATATAAATAATATATTTAAACATCTGTGCTTTCTGGATAAAAGACAAAGTGGGTAAAATGCTTTCAGGTTTGAGTTGTGGGGCGAACATCTTTTCTATTGTCATTACTTATCAACTTTTATCAATAATCATTCTGCATAAAACTGATATGTACAAGCACTAATATATACATAAATTGATTACTTAATAAGATTAAGTAATATAATAAGTTAATAAAATAGTGATTTATCTATGATTTCACTGAAGACTCCGAAATTACTTGCAGACACATTATTCTCTCTTTACCCCATAAAGCACAAACTCTAGCTCTGCAAAGAGCAGGAATTCTGTATTTATCTTTAATGTTAGTATATTGATGAGCGACGCGTAATAAACCACAGTGCTTTTTTGTTGTCAATTAATTGTTAATATATAAAAAATTAAAATGTTTTAAATATTCCACTTGAGATTATTACTGCTGCCTCCATCTGTATCAGAGGGGAAAATATACTGTATTATTACTGTATAAATATTCCACCAGGGGGCGCTGTGTCTCTTCTGATGATGATGAAGCAGTTTTGGGCTCATTTCTACAAGAGTTTAGTTTTCAATTAAAAGAAAGAGCTCAGTGATCAGCCAGGCGGCCTCTGATTGGCTGATTCATCCTAACCTCGCATTAGCGTTGACCAATCAGAGCAGAGAGGATGAGTTGATCATTTCATGTTTTTTTTTTTTATATGTCTGGATTAATGAGGTTTATTAGATATTTCCACCGTAGACCTTCTGTGTTCATGTTTCCCATTTTTACGTTTAACAGTTGCAATAAAAAAGCTTTACACCAATTAATTAATGGAATTTTATTGGTTTACATTCAATTGTTTAGTTTAGAATCACATTTTGCACATTAGAAAGAGCAACATCTGAAAAAAGAAAACACATTTTTCCCTTTAGTTCTTAAATACCTTTTTCCTTATTTTAATCTGTATAGCTGCCAGCAGGGGTCGCTGTTTGTCTCCTCACAGCTCTCTGTATTAAGCTTTATCTCTTTTATTTTTTAATCCTGTTTTATTTCATCATCTATGATCAGTAATTTGGTTTAACTGCAGATCTGAGTTTTCTTTAAAACTTATTTTCATGAAAAGTAATAAAACGTGGAGAGCTGCTCTGATTTCAGGTGAAACGGTAAAAACAGGAAAGGAGCCACAGATCAGCATCTTCAGTTAGAATTTATAGAATTACATAAACAGTCTTTAAAACAGATTAAAATACAGATATACAAAGATTTTCTTGCTGAACAAAAGCTTTGTGCGCCACTCTTTAATAATAATAATATCCATATTATTCAAATTCATACAGTATTTTATTCAGAACGCAAACGAGTAACAAATATCAACACTTCAAGTATGACTGGATGTTATTTACAGGTTTCAGGCTGAAGATCAGCAGCCCTCTGCATCCAGCCGTCTCATTGGTCCACGGAGCTGTCCGTCAATGCTGCATCCTCACTATTGGCTGCTGGTGTCGACGAGGCAGAGAGCTGAACCAGGATTGAGCGGATCCCTCAGGAACCGTCAGGAAGACCTGGATGTTTGTCTTTAAGCACTTTGTGCAGGAAGTTCTGATGCAGTCAGAGTCTGCAGAGCTTCTGGATCCGCCGCTGCTGCCAGTCTGCCGTAAAGTTCAGCAGGTTTGGAAAGTTCAGGATTTTTGTCTCCGTTTTGCTCCCCCTCCCTTTATAGAGGGAATCTGGAGGTTTATTGTGGAGCGTTATCAAGGATGATGACTTCCCAACAGGAAGTGGGAATCAGAGTAATTTCTCCTTAGGAGCAGCTGACAAAGCAGACTCTTAATTTGGCGGGGAGCATGCCTTTGATACGGGGACGCCATGTGAGGTCGTCAGGGGTCGATGCGGAAGGACAGCAGCTTCTCTGAGTGCATGTTGTTGAGCGTGCGCAGGTCCGGCAGCCGCAGCAGCAGTTTGGTGAACCGCGGTGAGTCCATGTAGGGGTGGACGCCGTCGCCCACGCCGGTCGCCTTGTTGACCAAACCGCGGAGCGCTCGGATCAGGTTCTCCTGGAGATGCTCCACAGACGAAAGGTTCTCGATCCCGGAGCGATCTGTGAAGGACGACAGAGACGAGTCAGAAACCCTGAGCTGAAGGCTCCTCCTGAGATGGAAAGAAGCTGGTGGAGATGTTCAGGAACCAACAGACTCATAGTTTAGTACCAGACTGAGGCTCAGAGTTTACTTCACCATCAACTGAGAGGAGAAAGAAGCTCCGACTCTAAAGCTACACCTTCAAGCCGCTGAGGCTGAAGCTCAAACGACACTAAGATGAAGGTGTTTGGGCAAAAAGTCAAGAAGTGTCTCCAAGATGAGGACGCTGCACCAACTGTCCGGCACGGTAGAGGTGGCATCATACTGTGGCTTTTTCACTGGTAGTGATACCGGTGCAAATATGGTGTAAAGGAGCAGGACAGCTGGTCCACTGCTGTGGACATGTCCCCACAGTCCGCTCACGTACTTCAGCCAACAGTGACAGCAGCCGCTAACCGTGTCCCGCCTCTCGGTGTGACATCATCAGATCTGTGGCTTTGAGACATCTGATCTGCGGTCTCATTTCACTGCGTATAGAGCAGCTACGTGATTAAAGGAGGAGAGACGTACAGCAGCATTAAACAGGAGGTCCTTCGATGTTTAAGCAAAAGTTAGGAGACGGGTTTGTTAAAAAAAATTTAAGAAGCCAAAGGAGAATCTGTTAGTTAGACATACGGAGCTTTTTCAGCTAAAAACAGCAACAGATTATAAGTTTATACAAGTTATTATTATAATGAAATAAGCTGAAGAAAACAGTTTGTTCTTCTTTACCAGTTAAAAAATGGCTTTTCTTCTCAGAGGACCATGACTCACAGTTACAGGTTAAAATTAAACAGATAGAATCAGGCTGCAGAGATTCTACAGATCTGGAAATTTAGTTCCTGGCATCATTATATTAGGAAAGAGCTTCATAAATCTTTTTAAACAGAGAGAAGCAGGGAGAGCTGCAGATTTAAAGGGGAAAGGGATTTACTGGGATATGCAACATGTAATAAAATATATTTTCCAAGTTTACCACAAAGTTTACGAGAAAAAAAAATATACTATGATATATTTAAAATGCAGCATATTCATGTTTTTCTGGATGGATGGAATTGAAAATTGTACTTCTATGGATGCACGATTGATCAATTTTGGCATCAGAATCAGCTGTTATTCATTTTTTTTTGTTTTAAACATTAATGTGTGTGTATATATATATATATATATATATATATATATATATATATATATATATATATATATATAAAATGCACTAAAAAGTTTATGAGTTGATTCCTAAATGTTTATTTTCTGTATTATTTACAGAGTTTATTTGCAGGTTAATAATTGTTGATTCTATTTCTTTGTTTTGTTTTATTTTTCTTCCTCATTTTTTGTTCTAAAGTGTGACAGGAAGTGATGTGGATCAGTCCACTTTCTATAAGCGTAGGGGCCTGGGAAAGGAGCAGCAGCCATCTTGGGGTTTGGGGTCTCTGGTTTTTACCAGAGCAAAGGAAAAAGTTTGAACTTAATTTCTGGCTGAAATAGAAAATAAACCATCCAGGACAATCAACAGGTTTGGACATTGAACCTTCTCTTTGCCCATGTGCAGAAACCTGACCCCAGTGCCTTATTAGGGGCCTACAATACAATAAATGTCAGAGTACTGTGGTTCTATTGTGTTCTCAACAATAAGAAAGCATTTAATGAATATATGTTTGAGCTCATTTTGGAAAATACAGAAACCTAATTAAAGCATTTGGGTGAAGTAACTCTAGGTCCATCAGCCCCCACCCTTAGAGCGCCCCCACCAGCTTTCATCACTAAGTTACACCCTGGCGTTGGTCGGACAGGCATCAGCTCCTCACCTGCAGACACCAGAACCACGGCGGTGAACAGCCCCAGCTCCTCGGCGTTCAGCTCCAGGGAAGCCAGTTTGTGGCTGAAATCAAACATGGCCGTCAGCAGGTCAGTCATCCCCATCGCCTGGAGCTCCTCCAAGGAGTAGGTGGCACCAGACACAAAGGTCACCGTCTGCTCCGCCACGTTGAACAACGAGGAGAAGCGCACCATCAGAACCTGGAGTCAGATTGGATGATTTTTTACCTTCATGTTGTTAAAGTACAGTTTTTATTTCTACACAAAGCTGCAGGAAATACAAGGAACTAATCTTCACCAGGGTTTAAACATGAATGAGTAACTAATTTAATGCTTTTTAATGCTCTTATGAAGCATTTTAATGCCATCAACAAGTACCAAAGACATATATAAGACGGGTTAACATTAGCCCTGGCAGCTGCAGCTGTCAGTCTGGTGAACGTACAAGTCTTTTCTGATGCATGCTGGGTAAAGAGGGAGGGGCCAGAACAACATCCGGGGACTTTGTCCGTTCTCGGTCTGCTGTTCTAGTGAATTGGAACATAAGTGGGGCTGAGGCTGATGACGTTTCACGAGAACGCAGATTGATAAAACAGCCATTTTGATATTGGCTATGGTTGTGCAGGTGATGCTAATGTTGAATCTATCATTTTAATGGATCGTAACTATACTAGACGTCCCTGATTTCTGGGGACAGTCCCCGTTTGGACTGCCTGTCCCCGGAAATGTCCCTAATTCTCTGCACACAGAAACAGGGGTTAGCGTATAGACGAGGAGCAGAGCGCAGCACTTTAAAACAGACGAGGAAGTTCGTTATCAGAACAGGTGTCAGCTGCCCTGTGTGATGGTGAGCGAGTTAATCATTTGATCTGAATCAGGCTCATCGTTTTAATAAATGTTTGGTGTGTGGTGGACGTGTTTGTTTCACTAAAGATGAGGAGCAGAAATGTAACATAAACCAAACTAATCAACAGTCAGACAGACCATTGGCTGCAGCTGCAGGAGGAAACAGACTGAAAACTCCTTATAAGGAGCTAATCTGGTTCAGTGGTTCTCCAGGATCAACAAGCTTCATCTAAAGATGTTTTTAGAACTAATTGGTGACCTTTAGTTTCTATCATCAGATAGTTATTGTAAGTACAGTTATACATCGTCTTGCTGTTTTATGGTTGTGATTTATGATCATAGACTTCCAGGCTTAGATCTACTTTTCTACCAGTTCTGATCTATGAAAGTTCCTCAATATAAAAAATAAGAGGCAGTAAAATAATTTGTTTTTTTGCAGAGCTGCACTGCATGACAACAAATAGTTAATTTAAAATTGGTAATATTCCAGATGGTGTGCGAGTTTTAGCTATAGGTGGGAGTCGCATTATGGGGCTAAATGTGCTGCTTGGCGGCGCTCTGCGCTCTCCCTCTGCGGCCCCGTAACCAAACACTGACCCTCCATCCTAAAGCCTCCTCTGCACGGACTGGAGCAGAATAAAAGTAGCGATTTCAGTGCCGAAGGAGAGCAGGTGAGCGCGAGTGCGCCACCTGCTGCTTGGGAGGAGTTAAGCTTGTATCCGTCGCCTTTAAATTAATTCTTTTTTTTTTTTGTCAGATGTTCTTTAATTCAACTTTAAGCAGAGAAACAAAGTGTTTGGTATAAAATGAAGTTAAACTAAACTGATGCGGTGGATGTTGAAAAGTCGAACCTCAAAGGTTCCCGCTTTCAGCAGGGTGACCTGGTCGTTCTGGGACAGAGCGCTGAATCCTGGGATATGTTTGGCGAACTCCACCACCTCCTTGACAGCAGGGGTGAAAGACAGCGAGAAGTCCTCCCAGATCTCCTGAGGGCTCTTTGAAGGGTCTGCATGAGGCTGCATGTTCATTGGACAAGCCTGCAAACAATATAAAAACATCAGAAATAAATTCAAGTCCAATAAAAAAGGCTTAATCAGCGTGGAGGCGACGGCAGACTGGAACCTACCAGAATAATCCCAGGCCGGCTCTTCAACGGACAGCTCTGCCGCTTAGCCACAGGACTCCGTCCTTCATTCACATTACAGGGACTCAAACTCCACCCCCTGTTGCCATGGTGATTGTTCGTGGAGCTGTGATCCTGCAGCAGGTGCCAATTGAAGCTCTTCTGATGACTGTTGCTATCGTTCTGGCTGCAGTCATTGGAAATGAAGCCGTTATGACAGCTGATGGTCCGAAGCTCCGCCTCCCCGTGGTGGTGGGCGTGGCTGTTTAGTTGCTGATGAGGTGGATCGTGGGGATTGGTCAGTTTGTCATGTGCATACAAGAAGGTTTCACGGTGAGCGCGGGCGATGGCGTCGATGGTGGAGTCAGTCCCGGGGATGGGTGAGGATGAGGAGGAACTCTGACATGAGGGAGGAGGACGAGGAGGAGGAGGAGGCGGCGATGGAGGAGAGGAAGAAGCTGGTGCCGGAGGTGGTGAGGGTGGAGAAGGAGCGACTGGGAGAGCTGAAGGCTGAGGCTGGGGGGCGATGGTCACACCTGGGCAGGGAGAGGACGAAGAGGACGGGGAAGAGGACAGACTGGCGAGCTGGAAGTCGTTCTGCAGCTGGTTGTTCACCATGTTGTTCATGGCGCTCTGCATCTCAGCCAGCATCCTCTGCTTCTCTCGCTTCGGTATCCGACCGAAACGAACAGCT